CTCCAGATGAGGCGCATCTCCAAAATTAAACCCATCACCTCACAACCCGATCTGATGAAAGTCATTCACGAACTCCTCTTCTTAAAACTGGAACTCCGTCCTCTCTGGCATGAACCTCATGTCACGCTCCCTCCTCCCGTTAGTTCAGGACACAGCAGCTCGGCTTCTTCACAGACCGATCCTCGCTTCCCTATCCCATTTTAGAATAGATTTTTTAAATTTTACCGATCACTTTTAAAAGCACGCCGGGGGCCCCGAGCCGCATTACACGATTATTAACCCCATGCGAGCCGGTACGCAGCCGTAGCTCCTCAGGCAAGTCGTCCCAAAGTCGAGACTTAAAGCTAAAGGTGACCACGCCTTCTCCATCAGGACCCCTCCGCCTTTTTATCGTCTTTCTATCGTCTCCCAGTCGCCCTTTTATTGCTTTTCCTGTGTTTGTGTGTGTGTGTTTCTACACGGCATCTTCTCCCTCTAATTGTCCTTATTTATACTGAAGCACATCGTTTGTCCTCCCTCTGTGACTCCGCCTTGTTTCAGTCCTGCTTCTGATTCGTTTGTCACAGCATGCTGTAAAGTTATTACTATTATTATTATTACTATTATTATGTGTTTGAGGGGTGAGTTATAACATATAAATCATGGATTCTCCGGGATGAAGATTGTAAGATTATTACGTCTATATGGAGAGACACTCACGGCCATCCAATCACATCTCTAACCCGCGAAGGGTGCAGATTATATCATTACGGCGTCGATACAGAGATGATGAGAGGAGAACTTAACAGGCCGTCCATTCCAATCCAATCACACCTAAAGCCTGAGATCTATGAGCTGTCAGGACTATGGACTATATGACAACCATGTCTAAGTGGAGGTGAAGAGAGAGAGGGAGGGAGGGGGAGAGGGGGAGAGAGAGAGACAGCGGGAGCGATGGTGCCAATCCAATCTTGTCAGATCTACAAGCTGTCGAGAGTGTGGGTTACGCTCTGTGACAACTGTATCAGCCGCATCAATATTATGGAGGTGAGGCGAGAAAGAGGATTATGTGATGACTGTGTCGATAATGGAGGCGAAGAGACAAAAGCAGGAGGGCTTGGATTTTACCCCGAGTACGTGAACGTGCCGAACCCGAAACATTAGAGAGCTTTGAACTCGTGAGCGACCCGCACATCTCTGAGTGAGGACGCGTCACCTTCGAATATTCCACCATTAAAATTTGGTATTTTATCTTTTTCTCTACTCACAACAGATAAGGCGTCAATCAGCACCTTTCTTACAAGGTGGATCTTTTTTTTCAACCTTGGTTTTTAGAATAAAACACCTTTTTATCCCAAGAGATTTCAGTTGGATTCAGATAAAGGTCAGACAGGATCGAGAGACACTCACAGTTAAATGTCCACTTGTTTGTATGAACACACGTCTGAATGTAAATTTAAAATCGCTTTGTATTTCTGCTGTTAATATTTCTTTTTTTTTGTTATTTATTTCATCTGTCTGAACTCAGGTCTCACTTGTGAACGAGGTCTTCATCTCAAAGTGACTTCCTGATTAAATAAAGTGTATACACAGCGACCTGACAGCTGGCTTTGGTTCTCCATGTCTTTGTGGTTGAATCTATGGGAACTGGTCATAGTCTCCACAGCCCCAGACATCTGACACGATTAGCATGTTAGAATCATAGAACTGGACTAATTTTATTATTATTATTATTACTAACAAGCTGCTTGACACCTGAATTTCCCCTACGGCATAAATAAAGTATCTGTCTATCTTATTGTGTCGATACCTGCTGAAAACACCTCATCTAAACTTCCTTTAATACGAAGTCGAGTCATGCTACGTTAAATTATGTTGATATGATAAGTTTAAAGCTCCTCCAGTGTAAAGGTCTGTGTCCATGTGTAGTGTGATTATAGATCAGCTCTAGCTTCTATATTAATACTGTGAAAGTATCAAAGCCTCAGTCCACAGAGAAATGCACACAGCCTGTATTCAGAAACTGAGCCTTAAAACCAGCCGTCAGGACTTCTGGAACTTTGTGATGTCACAACGAAGCAGCCACCAAGCCCCGCCCACCTCAAGGTCTTTAAAACGAAGCAACTGATATTTAGTAATTGTGCCAGAAATGTTTCCTCTGGACGTTTGGAGCAATTTTTATCACATTCTTTGGCTTTTACAGTAAAGTTGCAAAAAATGGGATGAAACATTTAACATTTGAGTCTCTCTCTCTCTCCCTCTCTCTCCCTCTCTCTCTCTCCCTCCCTCTCTCTCTCTCTGTCTCTTTTAGTGGTAAAGGTTAAGATGTTAAACTTCTCTCTCTCTTTTCATCTCCATCTCTGCCTCCGTCCATCCGAGTTGGCAGACTGATATAACTCTGAAGACAGATCCTGACACGAACCCAGCCGGGTCTCTCTCCCTCCCTCTCTCCCTCCCTCTCTCTGCCTGTCAAACGCCAAATGGCAATCAGATGGCCCGTCTATCCATCTCATTCTCTCACACACTTCTGCCCTTTCGTGCTCTCTATCCCGCCCACTCTCTCTCTTTCTAACACACACACATACACACACACACACACACACGCTTGCCTCCCCATTTCACACTCTCAGCCTCGTGCATTTCTCTCTCTCCCTCTGTCCGTCTTGAATCACCTTCTCGTCTTTTTCTCAATCCGCTTGTTTGACTGACGCGACGTGTTCATCAGTGACTGAATCAGCGAAGCAGCTTTTAACATTCACAGATATGCAAAGGAGTGAAAAGCCAGCGAGGCCGTCCTCTCCTGTTCCTCCCTCTCTTCTCATCCATGCCTATTTAATTATTCAGTCTTAATTATTAATTAAATTGTATATGTGACCTGACTGTTATTGTTTTTGTTTCTTTGTTTCAGTTTTAGTAAAACTCAAAGAAAGAAGTTGAGAGCTTCTCTCATGCAGTGTAATTAATATCAATTAATTAAAAACCCTCGGTGCAGTGCTGGAGGTTTACGAGCTCCTGGTGTTAGGTTAGTGTTTTACACCTGACATGTTCACCTGCCACACCTGGAGCTCATTCAGCACAGACGTAACATTGAATGGTCGGAGAGACTGAAGCTGGTTTATTGTCCGTCTGTTCACGCTCACCGCTACGCCGTCGATTGTAAGCGACACGTTTATGTTCCCTTCTCTACCAGCTCGGCGTTTCACGGAGTCACCTGCCTCTAACGTAGTATGGCCTTTACCTGGGCGTGTGAAGCTGGCTGGTGACCCGACCCCGACAGGTGAGCCGAGGCCTTGAGTAACTCCCTGCTCATTCTTGGTGTTAGCATAGTTAGCGTAGCCTCCATGTCTCCCCCTTTCATTCTCTTGATGAGCAGAAAATCGCTGCATCTCTAGTCCAGCTGGGATTTATCTGTTTGGTCCTTGTGGGTTTTTGAGCCTTTTCATGTTGCTGTGGTCATATACCGTTGTCAGGGCGATGACGTGTGGATGCACTCTCCACCTCTGTGATATAATCTATTATATATATTATATTATGTAATAATCTGTGCTGTTGCCGAGAGGAGAGCTGCGAGTGTCGTATAAACCTCCTGCAGACTTCACCAGATAGATCTTTATTTCCCCGTTGGTTGATATGAATGAATCCTTCACTCGTTCACCGCAGAGGAAGATGCTTCACTCGCTCGCCATCCTTTCATTCTCACATTACACCCAACAATCCTCTCTCTCTCTCTCTCTCTATCTATCACATATTAACGCTCAGTCGTGTCAATTATCGCCCTCATGCATCATTATCCCCCCCACCCCCCCACCCCCACCCGTCTCATCTCTTCCCATCATTGTCTCTGACACGTCAGAGGTGGTGCAGAGCGGGATCTGTCAGCCTCCACTTGCTGCGCTCAGATCTGGAGCTGAAGATCTGATACGACTGAACGGACACAACGCCAGTCTCTTTCTCTGCATGTATGTCTCATGTCAGTTATCTGTCTCATCTATCGCTGCGGGCGGTGGTTGTCAGGGGCGATAGCCATCACGGCCTATAAGTCCTTCTCATCATAGGCGACTTATTGACTGCCCGCTGCCCTGACAGCCGTAGATCTGATAGAGCAGGACGAGAAACAAATTGTCTGTCAGTCTCTTTGTCTTGGTCCTTTTGTTTCATGATGTTGACCCTGCTGCTGTGGACTGTGGATGGATGGAGTGAAGTATCAGCACTGTATTGATACTGTATCAACACACCTATAACCTGCAACACTGATAAACAGTAGGCGTGGGCGATATCAGAGATTTAATATCGCGATATACGATATTATCAAGAGGAAGTTTCTAAGGTACATTGTGCCATCCATATAATGTGTATTACATCAACAATAGAGTTTCCGATTTTTTATCTGTATAAAATCCAAAATGATCAGGGACTCAGTGAGACCTCATTAAAGTTTGTAAATCTGGTAAAATACTTAATGGTTAAAATGCAAATAATGTGCAGAACATCCGATGGCTGAAACTTCTTATGTTGCATTAGGTTTTAAAGCTCCATATTTTATAAGTGTTGATCCATAAGAAGATATAAAAACCATCTCTTCTGATTGGCTGACTGTTTTCTGACTGATCCAATAAAAATATAGCAGATTTCAGGTAAAAACACTCAGAGAAACCAAATCCTGCAAGGTTTGGATGGTGGGTCCAGGTGGGCGGGGCTTGGTGACTGCTTTGTTGTGACATCACAAAGTTCCAGAAGTCCTGACGGCTGGTTTTAAGGCTCAGTTTCTGAATACAGGCTGTGTGCATTTCTCTGTGGACTGAGGCTTTGATACTTTCACAGTATTAATATAGAAGCTAGAGCTGATCTATAATCACACTACACATGGACACAGACCTTTACACTGGATGAAACCTTTAAGTATTTCCACCAACATCCAGCCTCAGTTCAGATAACATGCAATGTAACCCAGTCCTCTGTGTCTCCCTGTCTTACCCTGGGGACGACACACACACTATGTGAAAGGAAATGCAGAGTCCTACCTGTGGGGAGGGCGGGGTCCATGGTCGGTTTTTCCCAGGAGTTGACTTGTTCCCAGGTAAATCCATTGGTTCCCAGAGAAACGCTGTACCCACAGCTGCTGTACGACTCCTCAAATGTACAGCCAC